GTGGTCAAATTATTTGTTCCAAGTTTACCACAGAGAAATCTGACTACCTTTGTTCTTACAAAAATGCAAGTCACTAATCAATCTGAAAGGAATTAAGCTGTCCTTGGTAATGTGAGGCCAGAGAACTGATGTCAATTGCGTGGATTATTCTGGGGATAGGAAGAATAAGACCGAGGTGGACTTCGTTGAACGGCTGGAAAGAGAGACAGGGTATTGTGAAGGTTGGAATGTCTAGGCTTTTGAAAATTTAATAAGGATGTGACCTGACACATAAACCCCTATCATTTGCCCGCACGTTAATTTGCACAAGATCATCTCCATTCCAAAGAGATGTTTTCTTTCCTAGATGAAATTAGGTTGCAGAAAACGTTTCTTTCCTTTCATAACTGTGAGCTGACTGTGAGCTGGCCACAGTGCGTGTCTTCTCCGGACTGGGCCAGATCGCCGATGTAACAGATTATTTGATGTCCCCATCTGCTGACGGTCACATTTGTGCCTGCATTTCTTAACTGTTATCAGGGGAGACAAGAGTGCTGCTCTGGGCAGGGTCTGGAGCAGCTTTTGCCTGGGCAGCTAAGGAAGCCTCTTTATGGCCAAATATCAAGAAACTGTCCTTGGCAGGGTTCTGGCTCTTGTGACCCTCAGCGCCCGGAGAGGATACTTCTGTGTGATTTCACAGACTTCTACTTGGAGGATGAGATGAATGTACAAAGAAGTCCTCTGACCTTTCCGGAATGTTCACATTCTTGATTTCTTCAACTATTTCTGCAGTGGTCAAAAGGCTGATAAATGGGTTTCAACATGCTTTCAAAATGTTTCCCATTTTTGATGGCCCTGTTCATCCAGTAGTCATAACAAATATTACTGTTTTCACTATTTTTTTTGACATGGCCACACCCTGCAGCAGACAGCAGAGACAGAATAAATACAGACTACAGTCTCTGTCCTAAAGGAGTTTTTTTTTTTTTTTTTTTTTTGATAGGCTTTTGCTCTGTTGCCCAGGTTGGAGTTCAGTATTTTGATCACAGCTCACTGTAGCCTCAGCCTTCTGGACTTGACCTCCCAAGTAGCTGGGACTACAAGTATGCACCACTACACTCCGCTAATATATACTTTTTGAGACAGGGTTTGGCTCTGTCACCCAGGGTGGAGCGCAGTGGTGTGATCTCAGCTCACTGCAGCCTCTGCCTTCCAGGCTGAAGCGATCCTCCTACCTCAGCCTCCCCAGTAGCTGGGAATACAGGCTTGTGCCACCATGGCCAGCTAATTATGTTTAGTATTTTTTGTAGAGACCAGGTTTTGCCATGTTGCCCAGGCTGATCTCAAACTCCTAAACTCAAGCGATCCACCTACTTCGTCCTCCCAAAGTGCTGGGATTACAGGAGTCATTTATTATTTATTTTATTTTTTTGTAGAGACACAGTTTGCTATGTTGCCCAGGTTGGTCTTGAACTCCTGGGCTCAAGTGATCCTCCTGCCTTGGCCTCCGAATGTGCTGGAATTACAGGCATGAGCCACCATGCCCAGCCCTGAAGCAGTTTTTTTTTTTGAGACGGAGTTTTGCTCGTTACCCAGGCTGGAGTGCAATGGCACGATCTCTGCTCACCGCAACCTCTGCCTCCTGGGTTCAGGCAATTCTCCTGCCTCAGTCTCCTGAGTAGCTGGGATTACAGGCACGCACCACCAGCCCCCCCCCAGCTAATTTTTGTATTTTTAGTAGAGATGGGGTTTCACATGTTGACCAGGATGGTCTCGATCTCTTGACCTTGTGATCCACCCGCCTCAGCCTCCCAAAGTGCTGGGATTACAGGCGTGAGCCACCGTGCCTGGCCCCGAAGCAGTTTTAAGGCTACAAAGCCCATTTGCATGAAACAGTAAATACTATGAGAAAGTCTATAGAGTCAGATGTCAAAATTACAATTAAGGCCAGGCGCAGTGGCTTATGCCTGTAATCCCAGCACTTTGGGAGGCCGAGGTGGGTGGATCACAATGTCAGGAGATCGAGAGCATTCTGGCCAACATGGTGAAACCATGTCTCTAAAAAAAAAAAAAAAATTACAATTAAATAATTATTTGCTAAATGGCTAAATGGCTGTATTCCTTCTAGGCCATCAGTTCCATAAAGCTGGGGACTGAATTTATCTTTTTCATCATTGTTTTCCCAGCACCTAAGACAGTGCCTGGAATACAGGAGGTACCTAATACCTAATATTTATCATCTGACCAAATGATTGCAACAATTTAATAATTGGGTTTAATACTTGTGATTCTGGAGCGATGCCAGCTGCATGGATTATTATCCTTACAAATTCACTTATAAAGCTTTCAGCATCTGAGCAAACCACTCATAAACTATGCATAAAGTGAGTGCCTGTCTTAGTGGGTAACTAAAATACTTAATGTTCCTATATGTAGAGATAATATGTATGAAGCAGATTAGATCATTGCTATCTTGGTGGGATTTGAGAGATCCTGAAAAGCACTTCTTTTTGAAAATATCTAATTTTCCCCTTAGATACTAATTCCTTTGAGTTGTGAAGATTTTGAAGTCTTCCAGTTTCTCCATTAAAGAGCAGAAATGACACCCAAAGACTTTATCCTCACAATGCTTTTGCAGAATTTGTTGAAATGCAGGCCCAGGCTAACCCATGGGGATAATATCATATTCTGCTTATGTAACTGGGCTGTGTTTTAGTCTGATGAAAATTAGATTAGATGGAGATCAGAGAAGCCACTTTCAGATTAAAACTCTGAGAAAGGCTGGGCACGGTGGCTCACACCTGTAATCCCAGCACTTTGGGAGGCCAAGGTGGGCAGATCACGAGGTCAGGAGATCGAGACCATCCTGGCTAACATGGTGAAACCCAGTCTCTACTAAAAATACAAAAAATTAGCTGGGCATGGTGGTGTGTGCCTATAGTCCCAGCTACTTGGGAAGCTGAAGCAGGAGAATCGCTTGAACCCAGGAGGCGTTCAAGTGAGCCGAGATCGTGCCACTGCACACCAGCCTGGGCGACAGAGAGAGACTCTGTCTCAAAGAAAAGAAAAAAAAACCGAGAGAAGCACCTGTGGATCACATTCGAAGACACCTAAAGAATTGACATGAAAAAGCATTTATAATTGATAGTATCTTTGAGTTCAAAGCTCCACTATCTCATTACCAAGTTCAAAGTAGTGCTGTCCTTTTTTCTCAGTAACTATGCTCTTATCTCCAAGATAACAAAGCCTGACGGGAACTAGATCAGGAAGCCTAGTCTAGGGGTTGGGAGTTGAACCCTACATCTCCTGACCCCTGGACCCCTTTTCTGGTGAGTCTTTGTCACTCAGGCTGTAAACATCTTTGCATGCAGAAGTGTCCCTCAGCTGGGTGTAGTGGCTCACACCTGTAATCCCAGCATTTTGGGAGGCCAAGGTAGGAGGATCGCTTGAGTCCAGAAGTTTGAGACCAGCCTGGGCAACATGGCAAGGTTGTTTCTCTACAAAAGGATACAAAAATTAGTGGACGCGTGGTAGCCTGTACCAGCTATTTGGGAGGCTGAAGTGTGAGGATCATTTGAGCCACTGCACTGCAGACTGGGCAACAGAGCGAGACCCTGTCTTAAAAAAAAAAAGTGTCCCTCGTGGCTTTGGTTGCACCAGAATGCTTGGTTTTTAATTCTTGAGGTTATTACGAGATTGAACTCTGAAATCATCCCGCAACCTTGAACCAAAAAAAGGTGACAGCTATTCCACTTTGATAGATGACAACGGAAGGATCCTTTGGTTCAATGGACAGCTTGTAAATATAAAACAGTTGTTGGAAAATTATATTAGAGATGAACTATCTCCTCCATTACAATGTTTGCTTTTCTGTAATACAATTTAGTTCCAGCAGAAAGGCTTGGGAGAGGCTACAAGCAATGCTTCAGGAGTTACTGGAAGCAAGATATGGGGAATGAGAGAAGGGATCCAACGATGTGGAGCAGGGGCCAGCCGAGGCCTTCTGCCCAGGAGGCCTGCGCTGAGGACCCTGGCTTTGCCCAAGGGAAATTGAATTCAGAGCTCCTTCTGCATCATAAATCCAGGGCAGCTGGCAGTTCTCCAAGGGAGACTGGCGCTAAACTCCAAGGGCATCTGCCGCCAGATTGGCCAACCCCTACACTGCCCTTTGAGGGCTGAGCCCCAGGTGTGTTGGATTGGGATTCCGTTCCAGCCTCCCGACAACATTCATTTACAAGCTCTGCATTTTGTTAATTTAAAAATGCACTCACCGCCAGGGAAGGAGAGGCTCTATTATATATGAGACAGCTGAAAGGCTGGAATTATTCTGACATGCATATCTTAGGAAGGAGAAGGCTTGACCTTTTTCTTTCTTTTTTTTTTTTTTTTTTTTTGAGATACAGTCTCACTCTGTCACCCAGGCTGGAGTGCAGTGGTGCAATAACTCACTGCAGCCTCGACCTACTGGGCTCAAGTGACGTGACCTCCCACCTCAGCCTCCCCAGTAGCTGGAACTACAGTCACGCGCCACCATGCACGGGTAATTAAACATATGTTTTTGTAGAGACAGGGTCTCCCTATGTTACGGGGGCGGGTCTCGAACTTCTGGTCTCCAGCGATCCTTCCACCTCGACCTCTCAAAGTATTGGAATACAGGTATGAGCCACCAAGCCTGGCCAGGTCTGACTTCTGAATGCGTTCGTTTCTTGATCTTTTACCCCGAGTGCACGTGCAACTTACACTCCTGGCCACTGGGTTTTGCAGAATTTGGTTTTCCAGTGTCCGAGGCCCCACGCCCGTTCGCAGGCTACTGAAAGGCTGAGGGCGAGGACGCTTCGCTTCGCGCGCTCCAGGTCCGCCGGCGCCCCAAGGGCTGGGTCTACAGCCTCCGCCGGCTGCAGACGCCGCCGTGCCCGGCCAGTTCCCGAGGGCGGGGCCGTGCGGCCTCACGCCCCGCCCACCGCGGGGTCTGGATCTGTCACGTGACGGCACGCCGACCAGCGAGGCCCCGCCCGGCGGGAGGAGGCCCGGCCGCGACCTGGGCTGTGCGCTGAGGAGCCGCCTGGTTCCCCTCACGCTACCTCTGGCGGCGTCCCCCGCCCGCGGCCCCTCTGCCGCCCGCCCGGGGCTTGCCGGCTGCGGGAGTGGCCTCAAGATGGATGAAGACGGCGGCGGCGAGGGCGGTGGCGGTGAGTGTCGGAGGTGTGGCGGGCTCGCCGGCGGCCTGGGGCCGGGGGCTGGGGGTCGCGAGCGCGGCGCCGGCCCGGGGTCCGTCTGAGGAGACTGGGACTGGGGCGGCGGCGGCGCCCGCTGGAGGCCTGAGGCGCGCCGGGCCGGGGCTGAGACGGGGACTTTTGGGGGCCCGAGGGAAGCGGCGGGCCGGGGTCGCCGTCCAGCGCTGGCGAGGGTCCGGGTACCAGGCCCGGGCCACCGCGGGTCGGGGTCACCCCGGAGTCTCGGGCCGGGGTTCGGGGGGTCGCTCCTCTGGGGCAGGGGACCTTGTGGGGCGACCTTCCCCGCATCTTGTCGCCAAGGGCGTCCACGCCCTCTGGAGCCCGGTGTTTCGGACGCCCCCTTTGAGCTCAGGTGGGCGGAAGCAGCTGAGCCGGTGGGGAACCGGGAGGGGAAAGTTTGGCATGGGGGGCTCCTCGGGGGTACAGGAGGGGAGGGCAGGGGGAACGGTTGGAAAGCGTGACAGGCTGCTTGGCTTTGGGTCAGAAACGGTCGCCGGATTTGCTCGAACGGGTAGGGGGCCAGCTGGAGTCCAGGTTGGGGTAGGCGTTTTAGGAAACTGCAGACGCGACAGAGTGAGCAAAAAAACTCGGTGGAGCGGAGGGTGGGGGTCACGAGCTGCACCCAGCACCGAGGCGAGACCGGAGAGCCAGGTGTGCTCGGAGCCAGGTGTGCTCCCAAGTGGGTCGGGTGCCCGACGTGCCCCAGGTGGTCTGTGTCTGATGTTCGGTTTCCTATTGCTGGAGGGATCGTGTTTGTTGGAAATTATTTCGTGGAATACAAATGACTGTTGGGTCATGCTGCAAATTAGATTTTAAAAACAGAAGAACGTGCCTGTCTGTATGGAGTGGCTGTTCGCTTTGGAAAGCAAAGGGTTAATGCCTATGTTTTTTACAGGAACAGACGAAGTTGAGGTTCTCCAGACTTTTTTCAATTTTGGCTTTTTTGAGCTAAAGATCTCCTTTGAGCTGACAGAGAAATCATCAGAATCATCAGAACCCCATGTAATAAGGGAGCAGTTTAGAGAAATCTTAATTACAGGCTGCCGCAGCAGCTGCCTGTAAGAATCAGCAGTATTGAATGCTTCAGGATGAAGTGGTTCATCATCAAGGTGCCTTCTAGAATTCAAGTGCTGCTCAGAGGAGATTTTTTTTGCTGATAGACGCGATGCAGCCAGGATGGTGGGAAGTTGGCACCCGTCATGGCATTTGGCGAGTTCAGTTCTCATAGTTGAAGCTAGGGGTAGCACTGTGGCACCGAGTGGGTGTGTTTATGAAAAGGGAGCGCTGTGGAACGAAGGAGCCCAGTTGCAAACCCTCCTACAGTCAGGCTGTCGGTCTGGAGCCACGAGATCCTAAGGAATGGATTCCCGGTGGAGGTCGTGTTTCCTGCCTGTCATAATTTGGGCAGAGCAGTTTTCTCTTGTTAGAAAAGAAGGACAAATAACTGTAATATGCAGACGTTGGGCATTAGAGTCAAGGCAGGCTGGCTTGGCAGTTTGTTTTGTGAAGTGCTTTGGGCTCAGAAAAGAAATGTAGACTTGAAGATAAAAGCAGGGATAGAGAGGAAAAAAAGGAAGCTTTAGTCTGCTCTAGCAATTTGCAGATCTTGAATGGTATAACAAAGCATGATATTAAGTTTCAAAAGTCTTAAAACTGTCCTTGGGTTGTTAATATATCACAGGGAAGCAACCTTGAAATAAATAAAAAAAAAAAAAACCTCCTGTATAAAGATGGTGTATTATGCTGTTTGTAATAGGAAAACATTGAAAACAGCAATACCAACTGTAGGGGCATGGTGAGGTAAATTATGGGAATTTTATTCAAGTATTTTACAACCATTAAAATAAGCAGTTTTATACATCATGGGTTAAACAATGTAAAAACTGGTGACATTATGGATTATTTTATTTTTTCAAGTTTTCCAAGTTTCTGGAATAAGTGTATTTCAGATTTGAAAAACAAAACTCTTATAAAATACCTGAATGTTTTAAGTGTATTATTTAATTCACCTCACCAGAACATTCAACAATGAAGATTTATTTATTGATTGCCCAATAAAATGCCAGCCAGCATGTTAGGTGCTGGAAAATAACTTTTAACTTTTATCGATTTAGTTTATAAATAGCTTTCTCCCTTGCTTTGTGACAGACAGTTAAAAATATTTTTGGTAGGCTGGGTGCGGTGGCTCACTCCTGTAATCCCAGTACCTTGTGAAGCCGAAGAGGGCAGATCACCTGAGGTCGGGAGTTCGAGACCAGAGTGACCAACATGGTGAACCCTGTCTCTACTAAAAATATAAAATTAGCTGGGCATGGTGGTGTATGCCTGCAATCCCAGCTATTCGGGAGGTTGAGGCAGAAGAATTGCTTGAACTGGGGAAGTGGAGGTTGCGGCAAGCCAAAATCATGCCATTGCACTCCAGCCTGGGCAACAAGAGTGCAACTCCGTCTCAAAAAAAAAAAAAAAAAAAAAAAAAAAAAAAAAAAAAAAAAAAAAAAAAAAATAAAAAAAAAAAAAAAAAAAAAAAAAAAAATATATATATATATATATGTATATGTACATATATACATATATATTTAGCAGTCTTAGGATAAGTATTTTTGAAACGAGTGAAAAGCAAAGTTTTGAAATATGAGTCATTGTAATTGTATAAACTTGATGTGCTTATATTTAACTGTTGGCAGTGGGAAGTTTTGAAGTTAACATACCTCTTTACAGTTAATACCATTTAGATTTTAAAAAATGGTTTAAAATTCATGTTTAAAAAAATAAAGTTCAGTTCCCTGATGGAAAACCGTTTCAGTTGCCAGCAGATTATAAAGCATAACACTTTTTGGTATATTTTTAGAGTGTAATACTTAACATTGAACTGTATCTGTGGGAGTCAGTTTCAGCTTGTTTAAAAGATAAGGTAAATAATCTATTCAAACAGTAGTTATGGTAGAGGCCAAAGATAATTTAAAAGGTCTTTTTTGTTAATGGTCATATTAAAAGACTTGAAAAATTGATTCCTACTTGCTGTTTTTGTAAGTTAATTTAGCTTTTTGTCCACTGTATTGTTTGTTCTTTAAATGCAAGATAAGGAGGGAGAGGATGGTGGTGTGAATGGCTGGAAGGCAGTTACAAGAGGAGCAAGTGGGGGGTGCAAGATTACAAGAACACATTGTTCCTTACAATGTGTGCAGAGTGAAGTTAAGGCATTTTTAATTCCTTTGGGGCTTTGTTGCCCTTCAGTTTTTCCAGAACAGTTCTTGAGCTAAGTCTCTGCATGGAGGGTGACTGGCTAGTTTGGCTCCTTGGCATTGTCTTCGTGCCCTATTTGGGCTGGAGCATGCCTGGCAGATGAGCTGAATTAACTCTAATTGGCATTCCTTTCCCTACCTTGTTCCCTCCTTGATCAGTTAAGTGAGGGTTAGGTCTGTGCATCAGGTGAAGCGATGCTGAGCCTCGTTCATAATAAAATACATGCAAATTAAGACTAGATTGAGCTTCCACCTTTCACCTTCAGACATGCAGTAACCCCCAAGTGTGAAAAGTCTGTTGGCAAGGCCATTTGAAACATTTACAGGTAAGAGTGTAAGTTAGTCACAGGAGGCGAGGCCAGGCCATGTCCTCTTGGCTCAGATCCATTTCTTCCTGCCCTTTCCCTGCAGGGATGAGTCCCTGCAGGCAATATTTCCCAGGCTCTTGGTCAGCTGGCTTCTGGCTGGGATTGGCCACTGGGAGCCACTGGCAGGAGGATTGGCAGGAGAAAGGATGAAAACAGGTTAGTTCTCCTCGATCTGCCTCAGGCAGTGTCTCTGGCAGTTGCCTTGTCTCTATTTGGCTCCAGCTTCTGCCCCTTGGTCCACCTCGCCTTTGAGCCTTGGAAATACCTTGCTCCCTTTTACCCTCTATTGGAGAAGTGGTAACGGCAGCTTGCTTTTGCTAATCTCTGGATTATCATTTCCTGTTTGGCTTTTCAGTTTTTCCATCACTCCTGTCACTAATACCTTATATTAAATTCCATCTATTTCTGATTCTTTTTTTTTTTTTTTAATGGAGTCTTGTTCTGCTGCCCAGGCTGGAGTGCAGTGGCATGATCTCGGCTCACTGCAACCTCCACCTCCCGGGGTCAAGCAGTTTTCCTACCCCAGCCTCCTGAGTAGCTGGGATTACAGGCGCATGCCACCATGCCCAGCTAATTTTTTTGTATTTTTGGTAGAGATGGTGTTTCAGCATGCTGGCCAGGCTGGTCTCGAACTCCTGACCTTGTGATCTGCCCACATTGGCCTCCCAGAGTGCTGGGATTACAGGCTTGAGCCACCACGCCTGGCTCAGATTCTTAAAGGGATGGTTTCTCTGGATGTCTCTGTTTCTCTGAGTGGACCCTGATAGATACAGGAGCTTTAGGCAGTAGCTTTAAAAATTACAGGTGTATAAATCCTTTGATCCCGCATTCAGTTCTAGGAATTTAACCTGCAGATATATTTGTACATGTGTGAGATAACATAGGTATAAGATAATTTATTGCCTTGAGTGTCCATCAGCAAGCAGGAGACTTAACAGAGAAATCCTTACCCAGATGGTGAATGAGGCTATAAAGCTGTAGAAAGGAACGAGAAAGCTCTTTTTTTAGTTGACATGGAGAGAGCTCCAAAATATCTTGTTACAAGAGCAAATTGTAGGAAAATGTGCATTGTTTGCTCCCATTCTTGTTTTTTGAAAGAGGAAGTGATGGTTGATGCATGCAGATTTCCTGGAAGGTGAAACAAGGAACTAATAACAATGGTTACCTGTTTGGGGAGGTTGATGGGAACTGAATAGTTGGGGAATATAGGTGGGAAGGAAACTTCACTGTGTATCTTTTTATTTTATGAAATTCAAAAAAGCTTGAATAATCTATTTTCTAAAATTGGAAAACAGTTTCATAGAAAAATAGTATGCTGGTAAGAAAATACCATTTTAGACCTTTT